ACCACTTTCACACTCGGGGTAATGATACAAATGTTTCTGCTACATACCACTGTCACACAGAGTAATGATATAAATATTTCTGTTAAATGGCACTGTCACATAGAGTAATGATACAAATGTTTCTATTACAAAGCACTTTCACACTCAGGGTAATGATACAAATGTTTCTGTTACATACCACTGTCACACAGAGTAATGATACAAATGTTTCTGTCACAAAGTCCTGTTACACACATTAATGATACATATGTTTCTGCTACAAAGCACTGTCATGCAAAGTAATGGTATAAATGTTTCTGTTACAAAGTCCTGTTACACACATTAATGATGCAAAGCATTTTAAAAAGCGTGTTGTCTCCTGCATAAACAGCAAGTAGTTAAATGAAATGAGCTGCTACTTCAGCATGAACAACAAAGATGTCAGAGAAGAATCTTTTACCTTTATAGCAAGATTTTGGTCCCTCTCCATCACAAAGTCTGCATATTTCCAAACTAGTTTATGGTCTTGAAGGCTAGATGATTTAAAATTCATAATTACTTCTTTCTATGTTTAAAGTCAATGAAATGGTTTCTTGTGTACTTCAGTTTATGAGATCATAATAGGAGATTGTCTTTGGTAAAAATACTTAATAATTGCCCAAATCTAATGTTAATGTTGTTTCTGTATGAATAAGAACATGTTTTGTTTTGAATTAAAACTATGGTGTTGTCATTCAGATTTTGAATTAAATTTTAAGAAAAATGTGGTCAATTACTTTTATGCATCAAGAAACTTAGTAATTTTTGTTTATATTTAGTGTAAGCAGTTAACAGATTATAAAGAAAAGATTCACTCATTGGATGTAATTCAATTGAAAAATGAAAACTTTGTTAGAATTATCATGTTGTATCTGTTGTTATAAAAACTAACTAAAATGTAAAAATTAGAAACTTGTTAGATTTAGGAAAATAATGAATAATATTTCTTCGTGAGGTATACTTGCAATCAGCTCGTGTTATGTCATTGAATATGGTAACATGAACTATGTGCTAGCTGAGTTAGACATGGTTCAAAGGGCAATAAAACAATAAGAATAAGTATAAACAGATGTAGACTGAAAAAAGCTTTAAGCTATTTAAGATAAACAACTGTAGTTTCCTTTTACAACCTGTAGTCATTCAAGAAAGAAAAAAGGGTATTTAGATTAATTTAATATTTTTTATGGTGGTTACAAGGTTGGTCAAATTGACCAAGTCCATATAATGTTAGGGTAGAGAAAGTAACAGATAAATATAAAGATTTACTAAACAAAAATTGATATTTATTTAGGAGGTTTTAGAAATTTCACAAATGAAATCTGAACATTTTCAGATATATTATTTTTAATCTCAATATGAAAATCACTTTGCATTCAAAGCAGTCAACACTTTAATTCCATATATTCACGGATGAAAAATTAAGAACATGCATATAGTACCTATCTCTGACCTCTTTCAGTTGCAGATGAAATTATTTATTTAAATAATGCATCTAAGAGCACAGAAAAATGATACGTACAATGCAAACAATATCCTATAACTATCATAATTTAACGTACTTTCTAAATTAAAATAATTATTTAAGTTTCTTGAGCTGAACACTGTGAGAAAAACTTTCAAATTGGAGATGAAATAAACCATACTGTGTAATGAAAACAACCTAATATATTACTTAACAGATCAAAACTCTGCCTATCTATTGGTTATAAATACAGCATAAAACATCAGAGAACTATTAGTAATTTGTGAAAGAGAGGATGTGACAGATGGACAAGACAAGTAGGTCTGATTTTCTAGTTTATGACTCCTAAACAAATAAGACTGAAGACTACAGAACTTAGCCTTTGTAATATCTGTGTTATAATAAGTAACTTACATTAAATTCTGTACTACAAAAAGGGGTGGTAAATAAATTAGAGAAGGGAGAATATCTAAAGAACAAGTGTCATGATTCAAATATTAGGGGAAATTGAGGATTTTTTTTATATTTCCTTATAAAATTAATAACTTATATAATATTAAAATTTATTTATTAGCTACATTTTAATCCCAAATTTATTAGTACACATTGACAATAAAATAGTTTAATTAAATTTTGAATGCAACTCTGTGAAATGTCATGACAATCACACTTCAACCTACTTGTAACAAAAATGTTAATTGCCAAGCTCATTAATTTATTAGATTCAACTATTAGGTTATTCTCTTATGAGACTTGGTCAGTTGGAGTAATCCTAAAAAGTAATAATCAGAAACACCAATTTCAATTAGTTGATAATTTTCTTCAGTTGTTACACTAATGTATTAAGCCATACAACCTTGAATTAAGCGAAAGTTATATTGAGAGATCATAATTGATATATTCTGAATACTTGGAAGTTTGGAATAATTGAGAAAAGTAATTATTGAAAAACTAATTTTGATTAGTGGTTTATTTTTACAAAATTAATCAATAAGATTTTAATTTCAATTAATTGATTATTTTATGTGATACTAATCATTTCTCACAGGTAATCGATTATATTAATTAATAGCCCAGCTCTGATTAACACAATTTTCTGGTAGGTTTTGTTTTACTTCTAAATCAATAAATTTATCACTCAGTGATTCTTATCTATATTATTTCTGACAGAAAAAAAAGAGTAGATAATAAAACACCAATTGTTATTTAAAATAGGAGTTAATGAGAGTTCCAACTCCAACATAAGAGAGTTGAAAAGACAGAGTCAACAATAGTTAATGCAAGTACCTACTCCAACATAAGAGAGTAGACAAGAAGAAGTCAACAACAGTTAACAAGAGTACCAACTCCAACATAAGAGAGTGGAAAAGAGGGAGTCAACAGAAGTACCATATTTTTCAGAATATAAGACACACCTTTATTTTGAAGACAAAGTTTTGGGGTAAAAAAAGCTACAGTCGCATTTGAAAGATTTTTATTCAACAAAAATTCAATTTGATACTTTAAAAATTAGTATATATTGTACTAAACACAAAAGAGCTCAAAACATCAAAATAAGAAAATACTGTAAATCAAAAAAAGGTTTACTGCTATTTAGTTTGGTTCAAAACCTACAAAATCTTCACTGCTTTCACTGTCGCTTGGAAAGGAATCATTGGATCCAATATTATGGTCAAAGAGAATGTCATCCTCGGTCCCTTCCATTGCGTTACTGATACCACATTTCTTAAATGACTTAATCACTATATAACTTCTTACTTTTTCCCACAAATTCTTCACTCACATGCAGACCTGAGCAAGCGTCGGTCTCTTCCTTCGTCCTGTAAGGGTCGTAGCAAAATCTTCCTGCTGCATCCAGTTGTTCCATTCCTCTCTCATTAAAATCTTAAAGGGTTTGTTAATAGAAACATCGAGAGGTTGCAGTTGACTTGTTAAACCGCCAGGTATAACAGCAAGCTGAGTTTTTAGCTCATTAGCTTTTTCCTTTATTTTTTCTGTTTTATGAGCTCTAAAGGAATCCCAGACAAGGAGAGAAGGCTTTTTTTTTTTATAAGCCTCCTGGACGTTTTGACCAAATTTTTTCAAGCCAAAGTAGTGTTCCGATTTCATCCATCCATCCTTTTTCATGTACGTGAACGTAGACACCGCTTGGTAAATTTTCTTTGGCCATTGTTTTTCTTTTAAAAATTAACATCGGTGGTAATTTTGTTCCATCTGCACAACATGCTAGCACCACTGTATAATGCGCTTTTTTGGTGTCCAGTAGTCTTAATAGTAATAGTTTTAGTACCTTTTATATCAGTTGTTATATTGCTTGGAACATCAAATGTTAAAGGTGTTTCATCCATGTTTGCTATTTGAGGCAATTCAAATGGAGTCTTTTTTCTTAACTGTATAATATACTTGTGAAAAGCACAAACTTTCATCTCAAACTCATTGGGCATTCTTTGAGCAATTTTTGTTTCAGTTCTCATAACTAGGCCTTTGCGTTTCATGAACCGATAACACCACGATGTATGACCAGTAAAATCTTCTAAACTATTATCACATGCAATCCTCTTTGCTTTAAAAATTATCACATTTGTAGAAACGGATAGTCCTTGCTTTCTCTGATCCACAACCCATTCGTACAGTTTATTTTTGAGATCTTGTCATTTTGTTTTTTCCTCGGAAATTGCGTTTATCACTTTTAATCATTTTCAATTCTTCTTCTTGTTCGCGCCAGCAACGAATAATTTTTTCTGTTGGTGGAGGACCAAAATATCATTTGGCAGCTCTGTTTCCATGCTCTTTTGCATAATTAATCACACTTAATTTAAATTTAGCTGTGTATAACAGTCTCTTTTCTTTAGACATCGTAAGGTGTGAAAAAATAGAACGAAAAATGAAGAAACAACTATTTTGCTCCCGAGGCCTAAGATACGGTACTTCAGCTTTCGGTGACGCATCCAACTTGACAGTAAGCATGTGCCAGACTGCCAAGTATCAAATAAAAATTGAAATACCAATTAGGCGATTACCGATGCTAATTGCATTAAGCGCTCTGATTGGTCAAGCGCATTGCACATTTGAATCCAAGGCAAGCACTCAAAAACGATTTTTTTTTGTTAAAGTTAGGCCTGAATTGGCCTTATTCTGCTTCACATTAAACAGGGATAGTCGTGTATTTACAAGCTTTTTCACTCTCATCCATTACTATAATTTATTTTTTATTATTTAGGGAGCATTATAAATAGTTATGTTTTTAAAAGAAAAAACTACTATTGTTATAAATAACACATTCAATTGAACTAAACTATGCATGCCTATTTAAATATATTTACACATGGCTTGTGTATATCGTATATACACATATATATATATTATTCATACCTTCTGTGTATAGAACACAAGCAGATTTTGACATCAAATTTTGGGGTAAAAAAGTGTGTCTTGTACACCGAGAAATACGGTAGTTAAGGAGAGTACCAGCTCTAAAATTAAAGAGCAAAATAAGGGAATTAACATACCAAGCACATATCACAGGCTGAATTTTCAAGGAACAGGCCTGATAAAGGTATACTTAAGGTTCCACACTTCATCATTTGTATGATTAAGCAAACCAAATTTCAAGTTTATTAACAAAGACGGAAGTATTACATTGTTGTATAAATTAATGATAAGTTACAATTATTAAGCCATCTTTACTTGAATAACAATGACAATATACTTACCAAGCTAGAATTTGGACAAGATATTCAAGTCCCGGAAAGCAGCTGTCTGTATATTCACCTGCAACAAGTCTATAAACAACAGAAATATTACATTTCAGAAGATCATACATGACGTATGCTAAATTACCAGACAATGTATAACATGAAAAACTGAATCCAATTAGATATCAAACAGTAAAATAATAAATTAATATAACATCAAGATAGATGTAAAACAATGTAGTAATAAATTAATATAATGGCAACATAAATGTAAGCATCAAACAATGAAGTGAAAGTTTAACACAACAGAAATGTAGGCATCAAACAGTGAAGTAATAGTTTAACATAACAGATATGTAGGCATCAAACAATGAAGTGACAGTTTAACACAACAGATATGTAGGCATCAAACAAAGAAGTGACAGTTTAACACAACAGATATGTAGGCATCAAACAAAGAAGTGACAGTTTAACACAACAGAAATGTAGGCATCAAACAGTGAAGTAATAGTTTAACACAAAAGAAATGTAGGCATCAAACAATGAAGTAATAGTTTAACACAACAGAAATGTAGAAATGAAACAATGAAGTAATAATTTAACACAACAGAAATGTAGAAATAAAACAATGAAGTAATAGTTTAACACAACAGAAATGTAGAAGTCACACAATGAAGAAACAGTTTAACACAACGAATATGTAGACATCAAACAATGAAGTAACAGTTTAACACAACAGATATGTAGAAATTAAACAATGAAGTAATAGTTTAACACAACAGAAATGTAGAAATTAAACAATATAATTGTGTTCTTTAACACAACAGAAATATAGAAGTCACACAATGAAGTAACAGTTTAACACAACTAATATGTAGACATCAAACAATGAAGTAACAGTTTAACACAACAGATATGTAGAAGTCACACAATGAAGTAATAGTTTAACACAACAGATATGTAGAAATCAAACAATTTAATACAATATTACAGTAGACATATAGTTTATGTAATACCGTTTATTTAGACAAGTGCAAAATAAAAAAGAATTAACTAACTTGCTCCAAGTTTGTAGGGCCTTTTCCAGATCTCCCCGAGTCTTGTGAAATAATGCCAACCCGTGGTAGTGTTGGTGATTAAAGAGATAATCTGCTCCTTCTGCAGGGTCACATCCATTGTCTCCACTGCTGACAAGAATGATCAACTTCTCTTTATTCAATTCAGCATAGAGTTTCAGCAAAGCAGTGTCCACTTCCTGTTAAGATACTATGTTTCAAGTCTTTCAAAACACAAACATATCATTTGTTAAATAAGAAAATTTTGCTTTAAGCACTAGACTGACATTCCTTAGAGCCTCAAAGACATTGAAACAAAGATTCTAAACACAACTTGTAACTGGTATCTTGAGATCCAATGTCGCTTTTAACACTAGACAGATTTTCCTTGGGGCCTTAATGATAGTGGAACAAAGTTCTAAACACAACTTGTAACTGTATCTTGAGATCCAATGTCGCTTTTAACACTAGACAGACTTTCCTTGGAGCCTTAATGATAGTGGAACAAAGTTCTAAACATAACTTGTAACTGTATCTTGAGATCCAATGTCGCTTTTAACACTAGACAGACTTTCCTTGGAGCCTTAATGATAGTGGAACAAAGTTCTAAACACAACTTCTAACTGTATCTTGAGATCCAATGTCGCTTTTCACACTAGACAGACTTTCCTTGGAGCCTTAATGATAGTGGAACAAAGTTCTAAACACAACTTGTAACTGTAACTAGGAGTTCAATTTTTGTGTTCTTAGAAGAAACCAACAAAGAGCAGTAGTGTATGATAAATTAACAGTGAAAGAGCATTTAAGTAAACACTTTGATGCATTCATATGCTTCAGTTGTAAACTTTGTTTACTATTAAAATATGTTTATGAGAAAGAGCTGCATGAGCTATACAGCAATGTGAGAAACATGATGTGAAAAAAATATTTTACTACAACCTCTCTATTCATAGAAGTATCAAACTTAACAAGTAAAAGCATAACCCTAAAAACAAATAAAGGTTCTGTTATTACAGTAAGAGTATCAATAAAAAGTTTATATATTGAAACAAATATAGCTAGCTAAAGATATAAGCATGAATTTTGGATAGGTGATTTAGAAATACCAAGACATGTATAGCAATTTTGAGATGCATACCAACTTGAAACCAATTCCAGGTTTACTTTGGATTTCTTCTAGGAAAGTCATCAAGAAAATTTTACACTCTTCTAGTTTTCCTGGAGAATTCTGACACAGCTGCTCAACATCTGCAATGTCATGTAGAGGAGGAACGCATCGAACAAAGTCAGATGATGCAGGAAGCAGACTGGGATAAATACTTATCAGCTGTTAAGAAGAAACCCAATATATAAACACAAGTAAAATAAAAATACAAAAACCTAAAGCTTATGATTATTAAAACAAAGTCATATGATGCACGAAGCAGACTGGGATAAACATTTATCAAATGTGCCGAAGAAACTCAATAAATACACAAATCTACAGCTTATGATTATTAAAACTAAGTCAGAAGTTAACAAAACCAATAAGCAAAATACTTGCAGTAAATATTTTATTATTACCCATTTACAGAGTCATCTACTTTAGTGTGTCATACTAATATCCCTGTTGGATGAGTAATGCTAGTTATTCAAGAAATAAATTATAAACATATTTCATGAGACAAAAAAAATCATCCTTAATTTTATGTTGTGTTTTTTTACTTAACTTTATTTCTATTAATCGGTACTGATTTAAATTATTTGACTTTCTTTTCGCCATTGTTAAACATAGCTTTACCTCTCGAATATCCAGTAACCCTTTTAGAAACAGTTCTTTAGCCTCTTCAAACATAAAGAGGGACAACTGGATAAACCCAGCCTGCTGTTGAATTTTGAGGAATGTCTGAAATTTCAAAAAATCCATGGTGATTACAAAACTTAGGATTTCTATACTCTTGACATTATTATATAACAGTAAAAATGAAATTCTTTACCATCTGGATAAATTTCTTCATAATTTGTGTGTTGTTTAACAAAGGTGAGTTGAAATAGATGTACAGTGAATTTTTCATATAAAATTGACCATCAATCTGAAATTAAAATGGGAAAAAGCATATTTTTCTGAAACTTGGTGGTCTTAAAGAAATGATAATACAATTTTTTCCAATGTTACTTGTTATCACCGACCTTATGGTTTAATATTTAATGGGTTTTTTTAAATATTACAAGATTCAGTTTCTACTTTAGCTCCTTGGAAAAGAACCATGTAGTACAGTGGTAGCAGGTAGAAACAAGAATGCTTTAGCAACACCAACATATCTACCTTTTGAAACTGAGTCTCGTTAAAGGTGATAATTAGACGTACAGAAAACTTGATTTTACGTTTTATCAGGACTTGCCAAATTGAAGGGGAGTCAATAATTGAGTCCCTTAGAGTAAGCGAAAATATTTAATAAAACATTTGTAAAGTGCTGCCAAGATTGTTGTGAAAGATCAGTTAGAATCCATGTTTTTGTGACTGGTGAAGAAACTTGTTTTAGTAAATATATTTCTATATCACCTTGCTGCTATAATAATTATTGTATGAATCTTAACCAGAAACTATATTCAGATGTGGTCAATAGTTGCTCAGTGTTAGAATCCAACAATTTACTTGATATAAAAACACAGCCACCACAATGAACTGCACAATAAAAATTTGAATAGTTGTCCTGAGTAGCATAGTTGTTATTTTTACTAGCTTAGTAGTTGCCCTGAATGTTCTACTAATTGATGATGAGTCTTACAATGAGTGTCGTTTATTTTTTATAGGTTCAAGCCCTTCTTGCAGACAAGAAAGTAGCTGAAGCATTAGAACTGGCGAGGTACAGTAATAAAGGCAATATAACCTTAGCAAGTCCTAGTAAAATATAAAATCAAGTTTTCTGTACTTCTAATTATCGACTTCACCTTCAACTTAGCAAGTCCTAGTAAAATATAAAATCAAGTTTTCTGTACTTCTAATTATCGACTTCACCTTCAACTTAGCAAGTCCTAGTAAAATATAAAAATCAAGTTTTCTGTACGTTTAATTATCACCTTCACCTTTAACTTAGCAAGTCCTAGTAAAATATAAAATCAAGTTTTCTGTACGTTTAATTATCACCTTCACCTTTAACTTAGCAAGTCCTAGTAAAATATAAAATCAAGTTTTCTGTACTTCTAATTATCGACTTCACCTTCAACTTAGCAAGTCCTAGTAAAATATAAAATAAAGTTTTCTGTACGTCTAATTATCAACTTCACTTTCAATTTAGCAAGTTCTAGTAAAATCAAGTTTTCTTTATGTCTAATTATCAATTTCACCTTTAATGTTTTTAGCAAGTCCTAGTGAAACAAAATAGTGGTTTCTTTACATCTTCTTGAACATACTAAATGAGCTGTCTGTTAATCAAATCACATGCTAAAAATTAGTTACTTCAACAGCTTATAAAATAGTACAAAAATTAGTTACTACAACAGGTTATAAAATATTAGTACAAAATTAGTTACTTCAACATCTTATAAAATATTAGCAAAAATTAGTTACTAAAACATCTAATAAAATGTTAGTAGAAAAAATTAGTTACTTCAACATCTTATAAAATATTAACAAAAAATTAGTTACTAAAACCTCTAATAAATTGTTAGTAGAAAAAATTAGTTACTAAAATATCTTATAAAAGATTAGTACAAAAATTAGTTACTTCAACAGCTTATAAATATTAGTACAAAAATTAGTTACTTCAACATCTTATAAAATATTAGTATAAAAATTAGTTACTTCAACATCTTATAAAATATTAGTACAAAAATTAGTTACTTCAACATCTTATAAAATATTAGTACAAAAATTAGTTACTTCAACATCTTATAAAATATTAGTACATAAATTAGTTACTTAAACATGTAATAAAATGTTAGTAAAAAAAATCGTAACTAAAACAGATTATAAAATGTTAGTAAAAAAAAATCGTAACTAAAACAGATTATAAAATGTTAGTAGAAAAAATTAGTTACTACAACAGCTTATAAAAGTAACTATTCTAGTTCTCAACCCTCAAGCATATTTAATCCAATGAAAACAGCAGACAGACTCTGCTAA